AATTCTTTCACATAATTATTGAATCAAAATCCACATCCAAGACATAATCACCGTGTTCTCTATCCACAGTAGTATTTAATCTGGGCCATGTTGGATCCATAATCCAGCCCTCAAAATCTATCCTTAACCACATGGACGAAACCCATGCCAATAGCATGGCATTGCAGATGCAGAGGTTTCAGGGAACGCAACCCATTCAAGAAACCCAAGGGAATGAATTCCTGATGGCTAGAGTAAGGGCTGAGAGAATGAGGAAGGGAGTGTGAGATTGGAATGACTGGTAGAGGTCAGATCCAGGAGAGCCTATAAGCTCAACAAAGGAGTAAGAAGCTTATCCTTCAGGCAGCAAGGAACCATTGATGGGTTTTAAGATGAGAGGGATATAACTGAATCATTCTAGGAGAGGACGGATGGATGGAAGTAGCTGAAAACTAGGGAGTCTAGTTGAAATAACAAAGACCTAAACTAAGGCAGTCAGAGTGGGACTGAAGAACTGAGGACAAATTAGAGCGGGTTAATGAAGAGGGTGAATGAATAGTACCTGACAGAAAGGGCAGATGTGCCTGAGCAAGAGGAAGGAGTCCAAGACGACTTCCAGCTTTTTTTGACTTGGTGAATGATGCTGCTCGTCATCCAGATGGAGAATCCAAGAGAAGGAAAAGGTCTGGCAGAGGAATGTAGTAAGTTTTGAACATGTTGATATATAAACATGGAGCTCCAGAGAGAAGTCCAGGTTGGATATTTGCATTTGGGAATAATCAGTATATATATGGTAACGGATGCCATGGGTGTCGATGAGGTCAGCTGGGGAGGAACTGGGAGCAAAACAAGAAATGGGTCAAGAAGAGAAACTCTGGGGAAAATACTGTTAATGGGTAGGCAAGGAAAAGGAGACTCCCAAGAACACCGAGGAGTGGCCTACCAGGAAGTGACTTCGGCCTGCTTTTAAGTGACCCACTAAGCTCCATCTCCACGGGTTGGTCACACCATGCTGGAGTAGAGGAAAGAACAGTGATATATTAAAATAAACTCACTTCTGGGGCCGGCCGAGTGGCTCAGTTGGTTAAGAGCTTGCTCAAGAGTGTGAGCTCTGAGCAACAGGGTCGCCGGTTTGATTCCCACATGGGCCAGTGAGCTGCGCCTGAGCTGAGCTGCTGCTGAGATGCCAACAGGTGGCAGGATGGCTCAGCTGGTGAGAGCATGTTCTCCTAACAAGGTTGCCTGTTCGAGATGGTAGGCTACACCCTCCCACAACTAAAGACTGAACTCGGCACCTTGAGCTGAGCTGCTGCCTGGATGGCTCAGTGGATAGGGCGTGTGCTCTTAACAACAAGGCTGCTGGTTCGACTTCCTGCATGGGATGGTGGCTGTGCCCACCTGCAACTTATTGAACACTGCACCTTGAACTTAGAGGCGTGACTGGACTTGGAGCTGAGCTAGCAGCGCCCTCCACAACTAAGATTGAAGGACAACAACTTGGCTGTTCCCCTTCCCCAATTCCCCAATAAAATCTTTTTTGTTTGTTTGTTTTTTGTTTTGTTTTGTTTTAAAGATTTTATTGGGGAATTGGGGGGAGGGGAACAGACAGGTGGACAAATTGCTGTTTTGTTCTTCAATCTAGTTGTGGAGGACATCACTTCACTGGCCCATGTTGGTATGGTCATTGTGCTCTTCCAGGGTGAGGCAATCAGTCGCTGGTCATTGGTCAGCTGTTTACGCTGGCTGCCAGCCATTCACATAGCTCACGGCAGCCCATTGCAGCCCCGCTGCAGCCCACACCGTCGCCGGCAACTCACAGCAGCCCAGTTCCAGGTCGAGCTGTTGTTCACCATCTTAGCTGTAGCGGGCGCAGCGTCACTGGCCCTCAATGTGGGATCCGAACCGCAGCCCTGCTGCTCAGAGCTGGCGCTCCCAAGCGAGCTCTTAACCAGCTGAGCCACTCGGCCGGCCCTAAAATCTTCTTTAAAAATTAAATTAAATTTTAAAAAAATAATAAAATAAATAAAATAAACACTTCTTAACAACAAAAACAATAAGCAACCCAGTTAAAACACAGGCAAAGATATGAACAGACATTTGTCCAAAGAAAATATACAAATGGTCAATGAGCATAAGAAGATACTAAATCTAATACAACAAATAACATGCTCAAAATCAGTCCAAAGGTGGCACTATTTAGAGACATTAGCAATGAAGAATGCACTTGAAGTAATAAAGGATCAGTAAGTGTAGCTTGAGTCCCGTTTTTCTTCCTACATAAATAAAGCTCTTGTGTCCTGTAGCCTCCACCCCCCCATTCCTGGTATGAATCTGTGTTATTCTACAGACAAGATTTTCCTAACACTATGGCAGGGTACTATTTCAAGCCAACCTTCGTAAGCACAGAAATATTTTACTGTGTTGCAATGTGGCTTTTTAGAAAATAATGTAATGATGACTGCATCAAACTAGGCTGATACACTATAACACTTCATATAGCACAACTATAAAAAAAATTAAAAGCAATAAGCATAAAAAATGAAGGGGAAAAAAAAGAAGATACTATTAAAAAAAAAAGATACTCAACATCACTAATCATTAGGGAAATGCAAATCCAAACCACAATGAGATGCCACATCATACCCGCTATGACGGCTATAATCACAAAGACAGATAATCACAAGTGTCAGCAAGGATCTGGAGAAATTGGACCCTCATACAGTGCTGCTGGCATTATAAAATGGTGCAGCCGTTGTGGAAAATTTAGCAGTCCCTCAAAAATTAAACATAGAGTTATCATATAACCCAGCAATTCCACTCCTAGGTATATACCCATGAGAATTAAAAACATGTCCACACAAAGACTTCTACTTGAATGTTCATATGGTATAATCATAATAGCCAAAAAGTGGAAATAGCCCAAATGTCCATCAACTGATGGCTAAATAAAATGTGGTCTATCCATTCAATGAAATATCATTCCGCCATAAAAAGGAATGAAGTACTGATACATGCTACAGGATGGCTGGACACGGAAAAACATACTAAGTTAAAGAATCCAAATACAAAAGGCCACACATATTGTCTGATTCTATTCATACGAAACATTTAGAATAGAGAAATCCATGCAGACAGAAAGCAACTTAGTGGTTGCCAGGACCTGGGGAAAAGGGGCAATGAAAAGCAACTGCTTAATGGGCATGAGATTTCTTTGAGGGTAATGAAAATGTTCTGGAATTGGATAGTAGTAATGGTTGTACAACATCGTGAATATACTGAAAACCACTCAATTGTACACTTTAAGATACTAAAAACCAATGAACTGTACACAGTTAAAATGGTGAACTTTATGTTATGTACATTTTTACCTCAATAAAAAAAAAAAAAAACGCTTAAATAATGAACTCACTTCACAAACTTGTCCATAGCCAAGAGGAGCTGAAGGAGTAATTTCTCCAGCTTGCAACAGGAACTCCAGATATTCTGACTAAAGAAGCCAAAGATCATGCTTCTCAAGAAATTTTTTAAATGTCTTAAGATGCCCATGGGTTGGGGGTGGGTGGCTCTGATGAAGAGTAGAGATGGAACCATCCAGCCTCATGATACCTACTCAAGCCTTGGTCAGGCTGTCTCACTTCTAAGACCCCAAAATGCCAAGGTGACAGGAAGACAAACAAGCTATGATTTGACCTACAAAAGAGACAGCATCCAGGCATCACTTAGGCATAGTTATCCTCCAGTAACAGGAAAGGAAAAATGATTTCTGGACCCAGGATACCCAGAAGCTTCAGAATAACACCGTCCTGGTTCATGCCCCTTATTCTGCACTGTGTTCAAGGTGATCTTCTGAGACATTCCAAGCTGTCCAGAGCGTCAGCCTTCACCAAGTACATAGCAGCTTTATGTCCACACAGTACCTCGGGGCATTGCTCTGAGTCTCATCTCTTTGGGCTTTGGACATGAGTGACTTTGAAATTCGCACAACTTACATGGTTTATACCCAGCTCAACACCATTTGCTGCAAAAGCCAAGGCCCAAAGAAGTCGAGTGAGGGGGCAGGCGATGGATGGTGATCAGAGCCTCCCAGGAGAACTTCAGGGTAGAGCTCCAGGGTTCCTGAAGATAATTTCACCTCTCTGCTCCCCTCTTCAATGGTATGCTTTCCTCTCTTTTTGCTCCCCCTCTCCCACCAAACTCCCAGGGCAAACGCTTCAAGGTGGCACACTACCATCCCAGAGAGAGACTGTCCGAGCAGGGAGCCAGATCTGGAGTGAAAAGCTAAACCTCTGGCCTAGGCTAGCCATCAGATCAGCAACCCCTCCTCCACGCCTCCCTGCTCCTGTGGGAAAAGCAGCACAATGAAACTAGGCCTTCCCTTGGGGCTCTGACCACCTCGAGGGGAGATTATGATTACCCTGAAGTTGCCATGCCTACTGTGATGTCATTCCTTTATCATTCCATCTGGGTAGATTGTTTTTTCCTTTTCTTTAAAAGACACCCTCCTGTGCTGTGCCTGGGAACCCACTGGGGGCTCCAGCCCTTGTTCTTTCTAGATCCGGGTAAACCACCGGTCCGGGACCTCAGAAGGCTCTGTAGTCCTAGTGGGAGCCGGCAAGAGTTAGGAGCAGCTCCCAGGACGCAGAGAAGCTCTCTTCCCAAGCTGGCCTATCTATTTTTATATTTAAGCAGAACCAAGCAGAGCATGGAGTTCACCTTCTCCTCTCAGAAATGCTAAGAGGACAGGGACATGTGGTGAGGTCCTATCAGCTTTACTTAATAGGCCAGAAGGAAATCACTTTTTAAGTAAAATAAATGCAAAGAAGAATAGGGGAAGGGAAAAGTGTACAAACACCACACTTGAACATGCACAGAGGTATGCAAAGGAAGAAAGAATATTTTCTGAATGATCACCTTTCACACTGTCCAGCCATAGATCTCTAGGGGTTTCCATGCCAGTGAAAAGCATTTCTTTGGGTTACTACTGTGCACCAGACACTGTGCCAGGTACCGGAGACCTAGTCCCAGTCTTTAAGGAACTAATAACAAGATGACTGTTCAAAATCAGGATTTTGCTCCACTAGAAAGATAGCGAAACTGAGGCTCTGAAAGACTAGGCAGTTTGTCCTAGGCCATGAGGCTCAGTCTACAATCTGTGGGCTGAGAGCAAAAGTGCAGGTGTGGGCAGACCTTGCCCCAAATCCTCAAGTGAAGATAACATCCTACTGCACACTTTCTCCTCATTCTATCCTCCCCTGACAGGATCTGCGGTGCTGCCACTGGGCAGTGAAGGAAGGTAGCAGGCAGTGGCTTTAGTTCCAGCTGCTGCAACCCCACCAAGAAAACGGCAGCCATCTGCCTCAGAGAGAAAGCAGGGAAGGCAGACTGTGCAGCCAGCTCACCCTCTGCAGTCAAGTTAACCTTTACTTAATGGGCCAGCTCCAGGAAGTCATCAATGCCATTGTTAAGACACAGCACCCTGTAGAAAACTGTGGTCCTGTCGCACTGGAAACGTGCAGACTTAACTAAATTAAAAATGGTGATATCTGTTGGTGTCAGCAATGCTGTTGTTTTCAGCCAAAAGCTAACACACAGAACTGGCCTTATCTTTCTAAATATATGTCTCTTATTGTTTAAAAAAAATGTATATCTTATAGTCTTTTAATCATAAGCAAGACAAAAGCCCA